ATATCCCTTCAGTGCACAGACATCTTTTCTTTCATACTTATGCATAAGTTACCAGCACAAATAATTTACTAGCATCAGTTGACAACTTTAGGTCAAATAAGACACAATGAGGGAGAACTGTGATAATGATATTTTGCTGTTTTTATTTTATAAATTAGCAACCGTTTGGCACAGCTTTGAAGATTGGGGAAGCAGCCCTTGGGAGAGGGCACAGAACACATAACACACACACACACATACATACAAACACAGACATGGATACTCTGCCATCTGTTTACACAACTGGGGGTTATATCAAATGAATAATCTGCAGCAACACCTGATATTTCTAATTATCTTTTTATATGAACTGTTGAGAGGCTCCACTTATCTCATTCCCTTTTATAATTCTCTATTCTTTAGCACTATTGTTCATTTAATCAGACTTCACTGTTCCGAAATCTTCCTAACAGTATCTTATTTGACTGGCTTGTGGGTATTTTTCCAAGCTTTGGCATATAATCATTTTGCAATAGGGGATATATGTAGAATCTGTATCTTTTATGGTTATTGGAGTCTTTTCTTCCTGTAGTTTAGTAAGATCAGAGGGGTTTTTTCCAGTGTCCTTTCCATGATATAACCACTAGTGATATGTATGGTTCGGTAGAGACATGCTCATACCCTCCAACATTTCTCTGATGAAAATGTTGTTGTTTAGTCGATTAGTCGTGTCCGACTCTTTATGACCCCATGGACTAGAGCACGCCAGGCACTCTTGTCTTCCACTGCCATGGAGTTTCATCAAATTCATGTTGGCCGCTTCTATAACACTGTCCAACCATCTCATCCTCTGTTGTCCCCTTCTCCTTGTGCCCTCAATCTTAACCAACATCAGAGTTTTTTCCAGACAGTCTTCTCTTCTCATGCGGTGGCCAAAGTATTTGAGCCTCAGCTTTAGGAACTGTCCTTCCAGTGAGCACTTAGGGTTGATTTCCTTCAGAATGGATAGGTTTGATCTTTTTGTGGTCCATGGGACTCTCAAGAGTCTCCTCCAGCACCACAATTCAAAAGCATCAATTCTCCAGTGATCAGCCTTCTTTGTGGTCCAGCTTTCACTTCCATACATCACTACTGGGAAAACCATAGCTTTAACTATGTGGCTCTTTGTTGACGAGGTAATGTCTCTGCTATTTGAGATGCTGTCTAGGTTTATCATCACTTTTCTCCTAAGAAGCAGGCGTCTTTTAATTTTGTGACTGCTGTCACCATCTGCCGTGATCATGGAGCCCAAGAAGGTAAAATCTGTCACTGCTTCCATTTCTTCCCCTTCTGTTTGCTGGGAGGTGATGGGACCAGTGGCCATGATCTTCGTTTTTTTGATGTTGAGCTTCAGACCATATTTTGCACACTCCTCTTTCACCCTCATTAAGAGGTTCTTTAATTGCTCCTCACTTTTTGCCATCAAAGTTGTGTCATCTGCATATCTGAGGTTGTTGATATTTGTTCCGGCAATCTTAATTCTGGCTTGGGATTCATCCAGTCCAGCCTTTTGCATGATGTATTCTGCATATACAGTGGTGCCCCGCAAGACGAATGCCTCGCAAGACGGAAAAACCGCTAGACGAAAGGGTTTTCCGTTTTGAAGTTGCTTCGCAGGACGAATTCCCCTATGGGCTTGCTTCGCAAGACGAAAATATCTTGCGAGTCTTGAGATTTTTTTTTCGCTTCCCCCCCCCCTTTATCTAATCTGCTAAGCCTTTAATAGCCTTTAATAGCCTTTTAGCAGCTAATCCCCTAAGCCTTTAAGCCTTTAATAGCCGCTAAACCGCTAATAGCGCTAATAGCGCTAATCCGTCAATGGGCTTGCTTCGCAAGACGAAAAAACCGCTAGACGAAGACTCTCGTGGAACGGATTAACTTCGTCTTGCGAGGCACCACTGTAAGTTGAATAAGCAAGGAGACAATATACAGGCTTGTCATACTCCTTTCCCAGTTTTGAACCAATCAGTTGTTCCATACCCAGTTCTAACTGTTGTTTCTTTTCTCATATAAAGATTTCTCAGGAGACAGATAAGGTGGTCTGGCACTCCCATTTCTTTAAGAACCCCTCATAGTTTTCTGTGATCCACACCGTCAAAGGCTTTTGCACAGTCAATGAAGCAGAAGTAAATGAAAATAGGGATGTCCTATTCTATAAGAATAAGAATAAGAATAAGAATAAGAATAAGAATAATATTTATATACCACCCATCTGATTGAGTTGCCCCAGCTACTCTGGGCAGCTTCCAACATATAGAAAAATATTAAATATTTGTAAAAAAAACCCAAACCCTTCAGGCTCAAGGATTGGGTAACTCCACACCCTCCAACATTTCTCTGGTGAAAATAGGGACATCCTAAGGAAAAGCGGAACATTCTAGAGTCAAATTAGAAATCGGGGCAGCTTCTGTGAATCTGGGACTGTCCCTGGAAAATAGGGACACTTGGAGAATCTACGACACCAATGTTGCTGAAGCTCACCTGGGTGGGACTGGGGTGGAGAAGTGTGGCAACTCATTGGCCTTGCTGGGGAACTTGCATTGCTCCACCCTGGCCACTGCCCTGCTCCATCCCATCCAGGTAACCAGAAGACCTGCTGGTGTCAGGAGTCCAAATGATGATTTCAGAAGGGCAGCTCTGTTGCTCCACCCCAGCACATGTTCCATGATTGGATATAACCTCTCCTCACTCCCCAAGCTACTCTTTGATGTACAAGGAAAAGAAACAAGAACAACAGAAGTTCTACCTGTCTCCCCCACCTCCTCCCGTGGATCTAATAGCAGGTTTTTTTGGGGGGGGGGGAGGTGTGTTGCATAATTGAATGGACATGAGGGGAAAGTGTTAAAATACCCTTTCCCTGAGAACTTATTCACCAGTTTTCAAAGTGGGCCTATGTGGTTGTGAATTAGCAAAGCGGAAGTTTTCAACCAGTGAAGTCCTACTCAGAGTAAACCCAATGAAATCAATGTACCAAAGTTATTTGTGCACATTCTAGGGTTGCTATATGTCCAGAATTTCCTGGACATATCTGGAATACTGCAGTCGGAAGCAGTGTCCAGGCAGAAATCTCTAAAATGTCCAGCGTGTTGCTTGCGGCAATTTAAAAATAGCTCCAAATCATCATATATATACAAATTTGCCAAAATAAATGTCGACATCTTTGTCTGGATTTTCACTGTTTGAAATATGGCAACCCTAGCACATTCATTTTGATGGGTCAGCTCAAACCATCATTGGATGCAATGGAACAACCTCACAGATCCACTAAACAATGTCTTCTTTGGTCCAAATGTTCTAGGTTGAAAATATAAGGCTGCATTCCTATTCCTATTTATTTGGACCTGTCTTCCACTGAACTCAGTATGATTTGCTGTGGGTTCAACATATATAAGATTGGGTTGCATAAACAAAACGAGTGTGAATGCTTCATAAGAAGCAGAGCTTCCCCCAGGTTTTCTCCTTATTTCTACTTTTATTCTGACCTCCCCTGTTTCCCCAAATAGTTATTAATTAATGGGTGTGATTCTCATATCAACATTCTATTTTGTCAAATCCTTTTAATAGTGCAGAATTTGATTATTGGTTAACAGGGCTTGCAATTGTAAAATGTCTTTGTTATAACTCTCATTATCCCACTGAGAGTTAAAAATAAGTCAAGTTGGAAGAAGTAAATGTCTTTGTTATAAGTCTCATTATCCCACTGAGGACTAAAAATAAGTCAAACAAGAAGAAAAACAGGCTACACCAAAAGTTATGACGAGAACTTTTTTGGCAATGTATCTGGGAGCTGGGGAGTGGGGAGACCTGCAGAAATTTATTATAAATATTAGTGGTGGCAGACTTGGATTTCAATTTGTTTCATACTCCCAGGGTGAAAGCCTTCTCTGGAATAGACCTGGGTTCGTCCCAGGTGAGCAGGCCCCTGCGGGGGGGGGGGGGAGCTAGTTGCACTTGCCCTGGGCCTCAGAGTGCTAAGCCAGCCAGGGGGCCTTGCTAGGGACCAGATGCTTTTTTATTTGAATTTATAACTTTATTCTAACAAGACTCCCAACCTGGGCCTCAGATAACCTCTGCATGGGCCTGCAGGTGAGAGAGGAGTATTTGAGGGTCCAGATGAGCCTATTAGTGCTTCAGAGATGCCGGGCGTTTCTTACATGTGTGTGCTTGGCAGTAATCCTTTGTATGGGGGTTCTAATATTGTGTATAATGAATTGTTAGTATATGTGTGGTTGGTTGATAGAGATAGTGTATGAGGTAGTGAATTATTGTAGTGGTTGGGTGGGATGGATGGATGGTGAGAGTAAGATTGGCTGAGTTTGGGTTGGAATTTTACGTTATGCTACTGGTAGTGCTGTCTGACTTAATATTGATATATGCCACTGCACACACTGTGTGTATTAACCCACTTCAAATGGTCTATAAATAGCAAAAGAAAAGAAGAATCAAAATTCCTTGCAAAAGAGTTTTCTCCTTCCTTCCTTCCTTCCTTCCTTCCTTCCTTCCTTTCTTTTAAGTTGTGGGTGAACATATCAGACGACACAGCAATTCTTCAAACAGCTCTTGTTTATTCACAGGCCAGGACAGAACTGAACTGAAGGGTTCAGTCAGCCTGCTTATATAGAGCTCCAGTACAGTGTAACTGTAACAACTTTCTAAAACTATCCAATCACTGAACGTCACTTTCGATCCCTTATTTGCATAACTATCTATAGTAACTGCCTGCTGGCCCAGGGTGAGAACTTCAGTACATAACACTTCCTTCCTTCCTTCCTTCCTTCCTTCCTTCCTTCCTTCCTTCCTTTCTTGACTTTTTGCCACCACAGCATGTAATGGTGTTGATGTTCCTAGGCACTCTATAGCCATTGCCTCTGAGAAAGGATATTGTGCCATGGTGGTGTAATGTCCTGGCAGTTGCATTCTAGAGGAGATACAGTACTGGAGAGTGGTTGCCCCTACTGGCAGGCATTTTCTCTCTCCACAATGAGGGGAAGGAGCATAGCTCAGTGGTAGAGCATCTGTATTGCATACAGAAGATCCCATGTTCAATCCCTGGGCATCTCTCAGTAGAACTCGGAAAGAATTCCTGTCTGAAACATTGGAGAGCCACTGTTTATCAACATTTCTTAAGTTCCTGTGTTCCTCCTGCCCTTGGAGGGGTGGGGTATTTTGTGATGAAGGATTTTAGGAAGAAATGGCTTCAGCATACTTAGAGGGCTGCTGCCACTTGCTCCAACAGCAAATGGTATTTTTTGAAAGAGGAGGAAAAAAGCCACTGCTGCTGACAATTAGAAATGTCTGTCCTTTCCCCAATGTAAATGCAGAAAATTTCTCCCCACTTTTGTGCACAGAGAGGGTGACTGCAGCTAGAAGGAGGCTCTAAAATAGTTCTACATATGTTTTCCAAACCATTATTATCTCCGGGTGTCAGTTTGACAAGCTCACACTGGATATAGTCTGCCTGATTTTATGCAATACCTTCTAAGGTTACCTGAAGGGTGAGAGGTTGAGGTTCCGCTCATGAATGAGCCACCAGTGTTAGTGTTTTATAGATATTCAGTATGTTCCAGAATCTTTCTTTGAAAGTCAAGAAGATAGCAAATGAGAACTGACAGTTTGTTACTTTGGTCTGACAATCACTCTAGTAACCTACAACAGGCCTTGAATATCAGCCTCCTTATTGCTTCTGTACAAAGTCAAAAAAACACACAAAACCACTGTGTAGTTCATGGATCTCGCCATGAAATATCTGACAACATCAATAAAATCCCTGGAGGAAATGGTGCCTGGAAGAATGATCTATTACTTTGCTTCACTTTGGCACCTGCAAACCCAGAAGTATGTATTTGAAATAACATTTGGAAATCATTCCCTTTGTGTGCCTCTCTTCAAATCTGGATTATTATTATTTTTTGTCCAATCCACAAAACATAAAACAGCAAAACTAGTCAGTTTTTTCAGTTAGTTTGATATCCAGTGCTATGTAATTTATTTTATATCTTATGAATTCTGCATGGATATATGTATGCCTTCAAATGCAATGGGAGAAGTGATAACAAGGGCAGGCAGAAGCAATCAAAAACAGCAAATGCACAGAGGCTTCTACATTTGTATTTCAACCTTCCTGTGATTCACACTTTGTGTTTATTTATTTACTTTGGCATCTTAATAATGGATGCGGTACTTGATTATTCTCCCCACATAGGTTTAACTATGGGCTACAACTCTATAACTTAAGGGATCTGTAGTAGAATGAGACTGTAATAAACAGGAATGAATGAATATGTCAATTTTGGTTTCATTCACTTTCTCATTTTCCCATCTTATATTCAGTTCTCCATATTTTAACATTACTTTGCATTTAAAAAGAAATGAAAGGATACAAGTCCTCATAAGAAAAGATTGGCATTTTCATGTCAATTTCACCCAATACACACATTTGCATGCAATTTTGCCTAATATTCACATTTTCCCAAAGCAATTCCTCCAAAAGTAATGCATTGTGCATGTTATTTTCAGCAATATGTGCATTTATATGTACATTTTACCCAGGCATATGCATTTTTGTGCACATTATATGGCCTGCAATGCAAAATTCAAAGAAGTGTGGCTTTCAGAGGGTGGCTGTATTCCTCATGTTATTTCAGACAGTGCCCATCTGATCCAGCATTCTGTTCTCACAACTGACAACCAGTTATGTAAGGGAAACTTGCAAACAGATCCTGAGCACAACAGCCCTCTCCCCACCTGTGATTCCCAAGAAGCAATATCCAGAAGCAGATTGCTCTCAGCAGTGAAGTTGGAACATCACCATTCTGACTAGTAGCCTTTGTAAGCCTTCTCCTCATGGATTTCTCCAATTCTCTTTTCAAGACATCCAAATTGGTGGCCATCACTACATTTTGTGGCAATGAATTCCATGGTTTGACTGTGTGTTTTGTGAAGAAGTACTTTCTTTAGTCTGTTCTTAGAACATTCAGCTTCACTGGATGTCCTCGAATTCTAGCATTATAAGAGAGGAAAAATTAATCCCGCACTACTTAACTGTCTCTGCAAAACTACATCCAAGAAGAGTCAGTTTCCACCTTTCAACCCCCTCCCCACAAAATAAACTTTCACTTATTGTCCTTGAATCTTAGCCAGCATCACAGCCTTATATTCCATCCCAGAATGGGTGGGGCAAATCCTTCTCCTTCCTGTAATTAGTGGACTGCGGGGCAACAAGCTTTGGGCCTATTAAAGTAGGTCCATATGATTGGAAATTAGCCTTTAAGGTTTCACAAGACTTTTGGCGTATGATCCAGCAAAAATCATGGCTAACTCATGTGAATATCAGTGGCATTAGGGCTGCACCCCTAAGTGCACTTAAAAGGGATTGGTGCATGAACCCCACAATGCAGACCTTCAGATGTACCTTGAAAATTCATCTATTTAAGACTGTCTTTCTTTAACAGGGTTTATGCCAGTGATTGTTGAGACCCTATGCTGCCTTGCAATGCTGTATTATGAAGATTTTGATGCTTCAGCTGTGTCTTGATTGTATTAGGAACATTGGAACATCTTAACTCATTGCTGAATGCTGCCTTGAGAGGGCTGTGCTCTAAAAGACAGCCTATAAATAATACTTAATGAGTCCAATTGAACTCAACAGACCTTACTTCTTAAAAAAACAAGCATAGGATTGAACGTCATGTCCTATTCCACTGCTTTCAATTACATTTAGTTGCTGGTTTTCTCCCTTTTCTTTTATTAATAATCATATTAAGCAACACTTGTAAGACTGGTTCATAAATGCATGGTGATGACTGCAACAGCAAATGGTGGCTTGTAGTTATGGATGAATTCTCACAGATGGAACTTTTGTGCTATCTCACATCACCCCAAAGGCAATGCTTTCCAAGAGAATCAGTTAACTTGACCAGATGTGAGGGGTTTTTTCATGCCTCACCAGCATCATCTCTCAGAATCAGATGAGACCATTTTAGAGAAAGAGGAGTCCATTGTTGGCCCTAGCACATCAAGGAAAGTTTGTGGTGATAGGATAACCCAAGATTACCACTCAGATAAGCAACCTGCTGGGGAAGCTACAAAGTCTGAGGATCCAACCTATGGTTCCAAGCTTCAGATCCTGAAAAATCACCCCCAGGAGTAGAGCAGTGGGTCCAATTGGAGTCTCAGGTCAGAGGGTGCAATGCTTATTTAGCAGCGTGAAGCCTCCTTCCTTAACTCAGGAGGGGAAAGTCTAAACTTCCTAAATTTGCTTCCTTGGGATCAGGGCTCTGCTGATATTCCAGGAAGAGGTGGAACAGCAGAGAAAATAACAGCTGGTGCCTATGTAGCCATTTCTGATGCAACATCTCATCTAGCTACCTGCTGAACTGCTTCCCAACCTTACTGATGAGAAGAAAGTCATAGTGGGAGCTTCTCCCATCCATGCACAATGAATGTAGTTGATGTGAGTTTTTTTCATGTTCATGAAGCTACAGCATTGCTAGACAATCATGCAGCAGAAACAATCAACTATGTACAATATATTTTTGTTTGCTTGTTTGTTTTGCAGAGGGAAAATAATATACACAGATTGAGTTAGTACATCTTATTTTTGTTACATTTATATACTCCCCATACAATATAGATCTCTGTGTGGTTTACTAGCCCATTCAAAGTGCAATAACAACCATAAAAAGAGGTAAAACCAATGATAAATAATACAAATAGCAAAACAAAACAAAAATCTAAAAACTGACATAGGCACAGAGCAGAAGAAAGGACATTTAAAACCAGCACAAAAACAGCTGGGGAATATATCAATATGTGTTAGACGATTATTCCTAATACAAAACTTGGGAGAATAAAATACTCTTCACCTGGTGCCAAAAGGATCTTTGTGCCTAGACAATCTGAACCAGGTATCTAAAGGTTCTTTGATGAGGGCATTCTATAAGTGTGGCAGCACCAAAAAGTCACCTCCCTAGTAACTACCCATCTGCTTTAATTAGGGGAAGGACCTCCAGTGAGGATGTTGAGGACTTGTAGGTATCTATGGGAGGTGTTCTTTCTAGTATTAATAGGTAAAGGTAAATAGGGGGCGTGGGTGGCGTTGAGGTCTAAACCACTGAGCCTTTTGGGCTTGCTGATCAGAAGGTCAGTAGTTTGAATCTGCACAATGGGGCGAGCTCCTGTTGCTGTTCTAGCTTCTGCCAACCTAGCAGTTTGAAAGCATACCAGTGCAAGTAGATAGATAGGTACTGCTGTGGCGGGAAGGTAAACAGTATTTCCATGTGTTCTGGCACTCGTTTAGTCATGCTAGCCACATGACTCGGAAAGCTGTCTGTGGACAGCTCCCTCAGCCTGAAAAGCGAGATGAGCACCACACGCCACATGAGTCGCCTTTGACTGGACTTAACCATCCAAGGGTCCTTTACCTTTTCCCTATAATTAACAATATTATTAATTACTAAATTTGTATAGTGCTCTTTATCTGAAGATCACAGGACGGCCCACAACATAACATATATATATGGGGTGCTCAAATCTAGTGCTGGCTAACTTCATGTTCCCAAGCGGAATGCACCTAAGAGCCAATTGCTGGGACTTAGAAGAGGTGTGGAGGTTGTTGTACTCAGGTCCTGCTTGTGGACTTCCAGTAGGCATCTGGTTGGCCAATGGGAGAACAGTCTGTTGGACTAGATGGGCCCTTAGTCTGATCCAGCAGAATTGTTTTTTGTTTTTTTATGGGGAGATGTGAATGTTCCATTTGCCTGTGTCTCTCTTCCCTGTATGTGTCCAGTGATGTGTAGTAGGACTGTGGATCTGATCCAAAAAAATTCCAGATCACAAACCAAATTAGATCAATCCAGGATTTGCCCAGACCAGTTAAAGCAGGCCTGAGTTGGGTCCATATGGAGCAATCCAAGGCTTTCAAGAGGGGCAGTGGCAGGTAATGAGGAGGGGTGTGAAGAAGGAGACAATGCAGGTGATAGTATCTGCCTGTATATCTCCTTCTCTCCTCTTCCTCTCAACACTGCCAACTACATGTTTAATTAGAGACTAAAATACTAATCAA